ATGTATATGTATCTGTATATGTATAGCATAGCTGCATAGCTGCTGTTCTGAGCACGATGAATATAGGAGGCAGAAAAGCACACGAACAAGGTCGCGTTGCAGAATGGCTCATACAGTGTAGTCATCATTCGTCGGACATTTCCAGGATTGAGGCTGCTACAGCGAATTTCATTAAGTTGCATTTGACACGACATACAAAGCAAGACTCTTTTAATGGCTCAACTCCCATCCCTTCGAAGAATTGGCTGCTTGCGAAGCTCCCTGCGAAGATAAAGTCTCGCCACTCATCCCTCTTCACGCAAAAATCACAAAGCGGTTGGGCATCAGCAGAACCGACCGCACCGGGACACTTGGAGTAGTGGAAGTTGACTTGGAAGAAGGACACCATGGGCGCCTGACAACTCGCAATGTTGTATACTTCCCTAGGAGGTTCGACCAGAGACCCTGGGATAATCATAACGGTACTCGGGGAGGTTTCAATTAGTCAGTCTGCTGTGGGCATTTGGTCGCCCGGTTATTACAGTCGATCCATGACCAGCAATCCGCCACAGTCCCCATGTGCTGGCCCATGTAACTCAACATGAAGTGCATTTCCCTTACTGGTAGCAGAGCTGGAGAAGGACTTTCCCGCCTCGCGCTCGGCGAGGTTGAGCTCCGCGGCATTGGGAGCGTCCTGCAAGGGAGCCGCTGAACGGGAAAACCATGATTAAAACATCACAGTCTGAAGCCACGTAGGCGAGCCTCGATCTTTGCAGTTTCGCATTCGGGCCCCAAGCACAACCGACTGCGAGCCGCTCCAGAACCACTGAAGCTTGCAGGTAGCAGGGCTTTAAGGCTTTAAGGCTTAAAGGTTAGGTCTGTTTAGGTGCTGGCGCGGCTTGCGAGCAAACCCTGACAACCCCAGAATCGGACGGACCGATCTTCATAAGCTTCATCTCAAGCATCCTTCCAGAGCACCTCTAGAAGACTATCCTGAACTTCGGAGGTCTCTGCCAGGAGCTGCCCGAAGCTTCGCATGTCCACGATGGCATTCACGACCTTGTCACAAGATGTCTGTCGTGGCCGTCGTAGGCTTGATAACTTCTGCGCCTACGCAACAGTCAAGAGCCGAAGAGCCATGTTGTAGATGGTCCCCAGGAAGTTGAGTGGTGTGAAGACGTTAATGATGTACCTGCTCGTGCTTCATAGACTGCTCGCCACTTACCGGTTCAAGTCAAGTTCGCCGAGCGCACGCGTTGACAGCAACGAAATCGCCTAGATCTCCATGAACCTGGCGACAACGGGCCGCAGCCACAGCTGAGAGCTCGTTGGTGCTGCATTGCTGGATCCTTGACTTATCTTTACTTGATACCTACTCGAAGGACTGATCGAATCCAAGATGAGCTCAGCAGCTGTGCCTGGAGCACACGGATGGTGGCGATGATCCTCGGTGGAGTTTGCAGTGCATGTGGGGTTCATTACCGGACGTTAATCAGTCAATCTTGGCAGCCCTCAGCAGGATGAGGCCCTGACATGCCGCCACAGAGCGCAAAGTTGACGATGAGCTGCTGCAGGACGTTCAACAGTGACAGGGATGCCTGACGCCCAACAACTTAGGCAAGGAATCGTTGCTCTCCTACTGCCGTGTGCTTGTCTCACGAACAGCTGATCGCCTGCGTCGCCATGGATGTTTTCTGAAACTTTTCCACAAGACTCCGGTACCTGCAGCAAGTTGGACTTGAGATCCACCATCCCCACTTGCTGTCATCATCATGATGATAAGAACCGATATATCATTACCATTAGTCTGAATTTCGTCGGTTCACTCCGCGCGCTCGTAGTTCTCTGCCGTGAAATACTTCACAGTCTGGCAGGGAAAGTCAACGAATTCAGCGCAACTTCGTTATCTGTCCCAAACACAAAAAGCCGGAAACGCAAACCTCCGTGAGAGACACTTTGGAATGAGAATGTGCAGCTACATGCTGTTTTTTTTGTGAATAGCTGACCCGTCGTTGTTTTGTATCTAATAACCTCGCAAGCACAAACGCGGATCCTCGTAATTCACCAGCGAGTCGGTGATGCGGTCATGCAGGTCGTTGTCATGCTTTGTGGTGGCCGTGCGGAACCTGAATCCACTGCAGTCAACTCGGAGGTGCTCCGGACATCGGGAACCGCAGTCTATGAGTCCGAAAGCCTCAATTGCTTCTGGGCTTCTGGCTGCTTCCTCCACAGAGTGACCTTCACCGTGGCATAGATGTATGCGAAGAGGTTCAGAAAGACGAACACCTGGACGACATTAAGATCCTAAGCAAGCTCTGGTCTGCAAGGCCATAGGGGTTACTAAAGCGAAGGCCCCAGGGCGCCTCTGACATCCGGCGCTCACAACTGGGACAATCCAAAGGAGGCAGAAGATCACACGGTCTGATGACAATGCAACTAAGGACCAACCAGCACACCAACTCCAATAACAGACTACACCCTGCTTTTCGGTCATGGTCGGTCCAAGTACGAGTTTACGCGTAATATTACTAATACACCACTTCCTAGTTATCAGATTATAGTGATACACCTCTGACTCTAGGGCCTATCGCGCTTAAACAGGTAAGGAAGTCCAAACACCAAGCCGAAGCTTCATGAGGCGAAGGATGCTGAGGGCAGTACAGCCAGCTGCGCATTTTCGAAGTGGAAGATGAAAATGAGTACCACCTCGGAAACAACAAATACTGCTTGTCAGTTCTCGAACAGGCTTCGACTGCGAAGATGTCCTGTCCTCAAGTACCCGTGAGGCAGCAAAGTAGGAGTACTACCTGAGGCTTTTGCGGTTAAGGCCTCGATCAGCGTCGGAACCAGGTAGAGGAACACATACTGCATTGTCTGCTGCGCAGCCTGCCAGGCTTCACTCGTTCCACTCCAGGGGAATAAGTTGTTATCTTCACATGAGGAAATAAAAAGATGTAGTGAACAACACACATCGTGCATACCGTGCATATATATATACACATACATACACATACATACATACATACATACATACATACATACATACATACGGACAGATGTCACCTGGATACGGGTGGGTGTCCAAATTATGGTCTCTTCGAAGTATAAGATGCCGTATTGGGAGTAGAATTATATAGGTTTCTCGAAGAGACCATGAGGCTGACAATTACCCATATCATATACGTGCATACATTACATACCAAATATGTGTATACATCATACTATTTTAAACTTGCCACAGAGCCATACTCACAACGAGAGACGGCGCACAATTCTTGCAATCTGTGTCAGTCTGTATTTCTGTGTCAGGCTTCTTTCCGGCCTGAATTCCACGATCCATGGAGCGGATGACGTTCCTGGCCACGTGGATCCGTCATGATTGGACACCACAAGAAAGGAACGGAGGACAGGGAAGTAGCTGACCGGAGCCGACACATCCCTTTGCCCACTGCTTCACACCCCAGTTCCTGGTGCAACTTCACAAGCTCCCTTGTCGTGCCGGCTGTGCCCCATCTTTTTTCTGAGATGCCAGTCCAGAGAGAGGCCGTGCAAGTGAGCGAATGTGTTATCCGCGATCTCAATGTACCTGCCATGGTTGCAGCAGCAGCAGCAGCAGCAGCAGCAGCAGCATTGACTTGGATCAGGTTTCGTGCAACGAAGAGAGATCGCCGCAGAAGCTCGAGGAACCCTGTAGACCTACGGCGGTAATCATGTCTCTCCTGCCTATGCTGAGCATCCTCCTGATTGCTGCTGCTAACAAGTCGTAGTAGTAGTAGTAGTAG